TTTGCTGTAGCTTTGGGAGGGAACTGAGAGGGAAAAAACATTTTTGCCCCTTTTTCAGTTACCTACTTGAGAAATAATAGTGTTTGCTTCAGCTATTACAAATTATTTGGGTACTTTCATGCTCAAGAATAGCTAATGTTTTTACTTTAAAAGTTCCAGCTTGGCGCAATAAATAGTCCTCATGCAGTTGTCCCATATCTTCATTTTCTCCACAAGTGTGAGTTTAATCAGTTGAGAAATAAGCTAAACACCAGTAAAATAACACACTCAGCATGTGCAGCTTAATTTCCTCAAAAACTTAACTGCACAAGAGTCATATATTATTAGCAGTATTCCCAGACAAATATATGTACAATTAAGTTATCATTTATTTGATTTTTTTTAAAACTTGCATTCAAATAACTTCAGTAGTGTATAAAATTATCAGAGAGGTTGACATGTTAGTCTGTAATTTTTAAAAGAATAAGTAGTCCTGTGGCACCTTAGAGACCAACAGTGTATACAGGCAGTCCCCGAGTTACGTGGATCCGACTTACGTCAGATCCGCACTTACGAACGGGGCTTTCTCGCCCCGGAGCTCGCAGGCAGCGGGACCGCCCAGAGCGCAGCGGTCCCGCCACCTCGACCTCCGGGGCGAGAAAAGCTGCTCCGGGTGCCCCTGGTCTGCTGGGGACCGTCTCTAGCAGACTAGGGACACCCGGAGCAAAGCCAGAGCAAAGCCTCAGAGGTGCGGCACCCCGCCGCCGCTGCAGCTTTGCTCGCTGTGTTCCTGGTCTGCTGGGAGGGGGGCGCAGCCTTCACGTCTCCCTGGTCTGCTGGGGGGAAGCAGCTAGTGCGGCGTTGCCTCACCCCGTTTGTAAATAGGGATCCAATGTAAGTCGGATCCATGTAACCCGGGGACTGCCTGTACTGGGAACCTTTTGTTTCAGACTTGGTTCCCATACCAGTTTGTGGAAAAATACAGGTATCCAAAATGGAGTTCATAGTCTCGTGCTCTAGTCACATGCCCCTGCAAAGTTACAGCAACACTTACAGGCTGGTCAGAATGTTGACAGGGAGGCTAAGCAATTTCACATCCCATTGTCTTTGACTGTGGACTCCATTTTGGCTTTAGACAAATATTGTATGTATGAACTTTCGTGGCCAAAAGTGGCAAGTAGTGCATGGATCTGCTTCAAAACTCATTATTTTCTTTAGAAAATACCCAAGAAATCAATATTTTAAAATTAAATTCATGTAGTGTTGTGATTGGATTTAAGTGTACAGTACTTAGGTTAGAAAGTTAAGCTCCAACAATACTATAGGTCACTAGATCTATTAATGTATTAAAGTTAATAACATATGTTCAGGCACTATGAACGAAACCCCACTCTCTATGAAAGAGGGGTTTGTTCTAGATTTATTTTAGAAGAATTTATGTATGTGGCAGGTTTGGGCATACTTTAACAGATAACCTAGCACCCTCTCTTTTTGTTGAAGAGAAACTAAGTCAGGAAAGTAACTTCCCTGATAGATTGTCCCTTAGAAAATACAATTCATCCTAAATTCTCAATTATTTAGGAACAATCTTCACTCATTGCTTTATTTGCTTTCCATAAGCTACTCTTAATATAATCCTCTGAGTGAAGTACCTGAATAGTTAGATGCAGAGGCAGCAAGACAGGAGCGGTTACCTGCCCAGGATCTCACTTAATCAGTTAACTAGCTAAACCTAGCATTTAACCTGTTAACTGATTAAATGGGATTTTTTTCATCCCTAATATGTATTTTATCACTTTCAAACCAATTTTGTACTACCCAGAAGTACAGACTCTTTTATTAACCTGTGTATTAACACAGTTATAACATTAGCTTTAATACAATGTTTATATTGAAGGAATCCACTCTCTCTCATTATAAGGAGTTGTGTGAACAAATCAAGGATACACAAAATTCTAAGGCCCTGATAAACCAATTGCATACATCTGGCCAGGCCCTTTCATCTGTGCAATACTTATCAACTTCAGTACAGCTACACAACATTTTTCCTTGAAGCACCAGCAAGTTTTGAGACCCAAGTCGTTCAAGTAAAATTACAGGTGGAGCACAGGCGGAAGCACTTTTCCTAAAAGATTATGATTTTCAAAGCTAGCCATCCAAGAATTTAACTGATAACATGTTTCCAATCCTACAAACTTGATAAAAAATGTACTTCGTATTTTGCTCTAAAAGTTGGTCAGGAACACGCTATCAGATTGGAATTAATTCTGGCTGGCTAAGCAAGGAGCTACTGGGAAGCGTTTCTGACTTCTGCATGCTGTACCGTGGGAACTGATGGATGCAGTATTACTGCCCGTCAACTTGGACCTTGAACTATGCATAGCCCTGTTGATATTATAGGGACCCACTTACACAGAACAGCTTGCCAAGTTCACAGCAAGTTACCTGAGAGAGGTAATGCTTGTCACCCTAAACATTCTAGGTTGTTATTGATGGTAAGCAATTACTGGAATTGCAATAAGTGAATTGACAGCTAATCCTAGAAGTAACATATTCTCTCAAATCTATCACATCCTCAAAAGTTTGCAATTGTGTTGTATTGTACGAATTTGTGAGGAAAGGCTACACAGTAGAAATGTATAATTGCATTTAAACAGTTAACTGGTTAAGTGGGATCCCAGATGGGGAACTGCTCCAGCCCCTGGAGCTCCTAACCCTGCCTGGGGCTCCTGGCCCCTGCCCCACCTGGTCTGGAACAGCCCTTCACCCGTAGCAGTTACCTGTTCACATCCCTACTATACACTAGAATCTTGTGAATGACCAGTTATGCAAACCATTTTTGCTGGCAGGAAAGATGTGGAGAAATCAGAGGAGGTCCAGAGAAGAGCAACACAAATGATTCAAGGTCTAGACTTATGGGGAAAATTGAAAGACTTGGGTTTGTTTAGTATGGTAGAGAGGGGACATCATAGCTTTCAGGTACCTAAAAGGGTGTTTCTAGGAGAAGGGAGAAAAATCATTCTACTTAACCTCTGAGGATAGGAGAAGTAGCACTCAGCTTAAGTTTCCTAATTGTTAGAGTGGTTAATCACTGGAATAAATTGGTAAGGGAGATTTTTAAGAGTAGTTTAGAGCAAATGTCTAAGATGCTAGGAATGATTGGACTTGATGGCCTCTCAAGGTCAGTTCTAGCATTCTCTGATCTTATGAACTCAATTAGTTTATAAATAGGAATTTTGCTGAAGGCTCTTGTCTGAGATTCTTTAATCCAGAGATGGCCAAGAGATGAATGAGTTCAACAGGTTCTCTAGATGGGGTCTTAGGTCTTTTGATAATTGGTGAGCAAATGGCTTTGGTTGGGGCTGTTGCCATGGCTCTAGTTAAATAAGTACTGAAAAAGGAAAGGAAAAAGTAATTAATACACAATATAGTTCATATAAAATATGTGAACAAAATTGCATGAGTGGTCAGGCCTTTTTTTCTTTTAATATTAATTATACAAAATGTCTTTCTGTTTTTATGCTCCAATTTAGTAAAGCTAAATGAAAGCCACTTTTTGTTTTTGTTTTTAAACATAAACATCAACAACAACAACAAAATTCCATCAGGAACCTTTTTCCTGTCTTAGCTCTAGTATACAGCATTGTTTGCAAGGAATAATAGTTGGGTGTTTTAAATATAGATGTTTTATAAAAAGTTGTAAATGTCTTTACTCCAATGAAGGATGTTAAATCTTGATTGATTAATTGAATAGTCAATGGATTTTCATCGACTATTCGATTAGTTGATAACTTTGAAATGTACAAGAGCCCCAGCTTGGAACGCAGCGTGGAGCCTGGTGCCAGTGGGCAGTCCTGCTGACCCTGGGCTCCATGCAGGCGCTTCTGCTTTGAAATGCACAAGAACCCGCACTGGGCGTTCCAACTTTTAAATGTACAAGTGTCCCCAGCTGTGGCTCTTGTACATTTCAAAGGGGAAGCCCCCGCGTGATTGCCTGGAGTCAGTAGGGGACGTTTCAGCTTTGAAATATACAAGAGCCCCAGCCCGGACTCTTGTATATTTCAAAGTTGGCTGTCACGGCATCCCTACCCCTTCCCACAGAGCTGGAGCTGGGGGGAACCGGCTTTTAAGTCAGCTCTCTCCAGCACTCTCTTCTCTCCCTCTTCCTCCCTGCTGCCTCTTACATCCCTATCTCCAGTATCTGTAATTATTATAGTTCATAATAGATTATATTTTAAATGTAAAAACAAGTTAAAATATAACTGAGATCAAAAAGGTAGCAGTCATGGGAGTTTTCAAAAACAAAGTTACACGTCTACAGGTAACACATAAATAGTTCTTATCTTGGTAGTCATATTTGAGTTCCTGGTTCCTTTTCTCTGGATTGGAAATTGAAATGTGGTGCTTCATTAACAATGCTTGTGAAGTGCCATGCAATTACAAGTGCAACTTCTCGTTTGCACTAGTTATTGGGGAAACTTACTGTGAATTGAGTTTAAGTTCACTTATATGCTTAAAATATCACAAAGGAAACAAATGTACAAATTCAGGCATAAGAGATGAAAAACAGAGAAAAAGGAGATGGAAATGATAGAAATACATACCTGATGGTGCCCTGCACTACTTTTTTCATTGAGATTTAATAATGCCAAACGTTGTGGTTAGTTTTAATAATTAAGAGCCTGGATTTTTGGGTAGACTTCATTTGGCATAAGTGGGCATTGTTTTATGGCTTGAGTGTATAGGTTGAACCTCTTTAGTCTGCACTCTCTGGGCAATATCTGTGGTCTGTCATGATTTTAGTTAGCCAGATGTCCACTTATCATTGGTATAGCCAAGTTTCCCATGTTCCCTTAAAGTTTGTTTACATCCACCTGTCCTGGTTCTCAGTATTCTGTGCTGCGGTTTAGCTCTAATTTATCCCTAAATGTCTTCTAAACAGTGGCAGTGTTGGTAATGCTGCTAGACAATATTGACTTACCACATTTCAACAATTTTTCTGGTTCGGCACTGGTCAGGTCATGAGGGTGTCAGCTAGAGAAGTTCAACCTATGGTATAGAAGCAGAACCTCGTGCTCCAGGCCTTAATTAATAATGCAGTTTGACCTTTGCCACATAATGGTTCACATACTAGGCTGATTTTTAAATTCCATTTTGGAAGTGAATAATACAGGTTGAAATTCTCTAATCCAGCACCCTTGGGACCTGACTGGTCCTAAACCAGAGAATTTGCCAGATCATGGGATGTCAGTATTATGTAGCAGCGTTACCAACACTTCCTCTGCTTACTGGGCTCTTAGAAGACATTTAGGGGTAAATTAGAGCTAAATAACAGCACAGAATACTGAGCCAGGATTGGTGGTGGTTAACAAACTTTAAGGGACTGCAGGAAAATTGGCCACATGCATGATAAGTGGACATCCGGCTAACTAAAATCATGTTGTACCAGAGAGTGCCAGACTAGAGAGGTTCAACCTGTATAATAGACACAGGTGAGAGGAAACTCACAATTGCAGAGGGAGAAGCCTGGAACCGCAATACATACCATTATAAAGGGAAGAAACTTGTTTCATTATAGCCTAGCTTAGGGCTCATCTTCACTATGCTAAAGTGTCAAAAGGGGATATGTAAATTCTGCAGGAATTTGCATATCTTCTTCGGATCTTACTTTCGAAAGCAGCTTTTCGAAAAAGGGGGGAGGTTGCCGAAAAAAAGCGTCTTGACTACTTTCACTTTTGAAAGCTCTGCTTTCGAAAATGAGATTGGAAGAAGATACGCAAGTTCCCGCAGAATTTGCATATCCCCTTCCGACACTTTAGTATAGTCTAGATGAGCCCTTAGTGATAACAATTATTAGTGTTTGCAGATTGCACATAGTATTTAAAAACATTATTAGGGCAGCTACCTGTGAGAACCAGTTTTCTTCCTCTTTGGGTTATCAGTAGACTACTCTCCATTCCATCAGTGCTCTATTGTATGATCTTTCTTGGCTTCATATAGAATTGTGTTAGAGGTTGCAAACAGCTGTCAGTATGAACGTCGTTCTTGTCCATATTTGATCTGGATCTAAATATGATTAGAGCCAACCATGGCACTAACTGTTTAAACTTTTCTCAAATCTATGGTGTTGACTTATGGAGGAGGTAGGGAGTGCTTTGGCCAAGGTGCTCTAAAATGTTCATGTACCTGGAACTTGCTTCTTCCTTACACATTGGTTTATATTGCCTTTTTTCTCAGAAGATGCAATTAGTTGAAAGGTTCCTCTTTTTGCAGGTGGAGAAATATAAAAGGGTGTGAAGTTTTTACAATGTCATTTATTTACTACATGATTAAAATTAATTTTTGTATTGTGCAAATGTGCCTGGTTTGGTGTGATAAACACATTGTAAATTAGAGGAATTGAAATCTAAGGCTAAACATCTAGGATTTTTAATTAACTCAAATTGTTTTGTCTTTGTGTTTCTAAAATCGACTATAAAATTATTCATATTTTTTGGTGCTTATTACCTTCTAGTGTGTACCATGTTTAATCTTCATGAATATGATCCTTAAATTCCGCCAAAGCACTTAAGTAGAAGTTTGGAAATAATTTCTGTCTACAGAGCAAATGATAAAAGTTTATTAGAACTACTCTATTAACATTGCTGTATGTTTCACTACAGATGATTCCACAGATGTTGGAGAAGAGGACAGCTTCTTGGGTCAGACTTCTGTTGGTCCTAGCCCACCACAGACTTTTAGCTATTTCTCCCAAGTACCTAGTAGCAGTGATCCATTTGGAAGCATTGGGCAGCCACCCTTAACTACAGTGACACCACCTGTTGGGCCATCAGCCTTCTCCAAGACTCCAACTTCTCTCCCGCTTCTGCCTGGATCACAAGAGGGGCAGAATGTTTTTTCAGCAAATGTTCCGAAATCACAATCATCTTATAATGCCCCACCTACTTCTCTGGTTGGAATCAGTGCTTATCAGACTCCTCCAGATAGTTGTCCCCCACCTGCAAACTTTGCTACTCCTCCCCATGGAACATCTCAGCAAGGATATAACCCATATCGCCATACTACCATAAGCAGTAGAGCTAATCCTTACCTAACTCCACCACAGCTGCAGCAGAGTCAGACGCCAAGCCAGTATGTCCAACCACCGCCCTCTGTGCCACCTGTTCACGTATATCAGACACCTCCAGGATCATTGTCACCGGTATGCAAATGACCTTTGATTTCTTGGTGTTAATATAGAATTATTTCAGATAGTTTTGTTTTCATTACATTTTTCCCTAACCATCATCTTAGTTTTCCTGTTTTATTTCTGCTTAATGTTACACTTTTTTTAAAAGGGTAACATTAAGCAGAAATAAAACAGGAAAACTAAGATGATGGTTAGGGAAAAATGTAATGAAAACAAAACTAAGAGAATCTTGTTGTTTTTGACATCTGTTATCAAAACATCTTCATTAATCTTGGACCAGTGCTTTGGGAAAGTATACTGGTACGCTAACTGACATCTTCAAAGCCACATGATTTTAGCAGCAAGACTCTGTAACAAATAAAATCTTGAATTCCAGGGTTTCATAGGGTTGAAAAAAATTAGTTTACAGCTCTTATGATTTTCAAGATGGCTTTTAAAAAATGGTTTTGTTTGGAGGGCAAGCTGTTATCAAAATGATTTCAGTTTTAAAGAGAAAATATTAGATTAATTATATTTTCTTACATAAATGTTCGGACAGAGGAATAGAAAGGTATATGTCTGTGTGTGTGTAACATTGCCAAGTTAATGATCCCTGAGAAAACATAACTTTTGGAATCTGAAATATCTTGACTCTTTGGGTGCTTGATTTTGCTACCTTTTCTCACATGAGGTTGAAATGTCAGCAATTTTAATTGATTACTATGAGGAGAGAAAAATATCAGCTCTTCAGCTTGAAACAACATGGATTTTTAAAACATAATCAGGTGAAGCTCCTGCATAAAAAAGTTGCTTAACATAATAATTCTGAGCTATTATCTTCTTCTAGAAAAGCTTTGATGTGCCTGGTTGAAACTGTATTCAAGAAAGGGGCTAAATTAGTGTTTTCTAATGCACAAAATAGGACTTTTTCAGATTCTTTAAGACTTCTGTCCTCTTGTGCTTTTGGCCTAAAATATAGTTTTTGGAAAGAGGAGAGCATGTAGGAATGAGGAGTGAGAATAAACTCCTACATTAGATATAAACTATATACCATAATCATAATTTGAGCTACTTGGATCATATGTAATAAAGCTTGTGTATTTTCAGTTTCCTCATTCACAGCCAGCATTATCATCGCCATCACAACCACTGCAAGCCTCCAGACCTGCAGGTCCACTGCTACAGACACCACCTGTTTTGCTTCAGAACCAATATGAGCCAGTTCAGCCTCACTGGTTTTACTGCAAAGAGGTGGAAACCAAGCAGATATGGATGCCATTCAGTGTACTAGATTCTGTGAAACTAGAGGAAGTTTATAATTCTGGTAAGTAATGAAACTGTTTTACATCTTATTTGTATATTGTGGCTGCTCACTTTAAATGAGAAAATCTATTCTATAGAAGTCTATTATATAAATGAGAAAATATTAGAGTTCATTATGAAGATAAGGAAGACGAAATGCTGTGAGAATAATGGGTGTTGAGAAGATAAAGTTGAAGCCAATCTATTTTTACTAATCTCAGAGATTTAGTTGGATGTCTGCTACTTGGCATCATTACTATTGATATTAACATGTCTAATTTGTAAATAATAAACTTGCTATGCTGCAATTTCTTTGATTGTATGACCTATATTTATTCTTAGGTCTGCCTATACACTAGAATGATGATGAAAGGCAAAATTTCAGTTTTTTGGGTTAAAGATGGTAGAGTAGTGTATTGGACTTTCAGAAAATAGATGGTTGTTCTAACTTAACGCTATTTGCTTTGACAGCCACTTCTCTCTAATTTATTTTTGCTAGTAATTGGAGGTAAGAAATTGGTCAAGTTTATAACTTACATTCAATGATCTGAGGAAAAACAAATGTATAATGGCAAATATGACAAAACAGTTCACTGGCGCTAAAGACTTTTTAATTAGTAAGTAACAGTGTTAGAAGGGTGTGATTTTAAATGCGTTTACTTATCCTGTAAAGGCCAAGATATCAAGATCTTCATTAATGAAAGAATGGAAGTTATTAGCTGTTTCTAGATGTGTGTGGGTATAGATTAAAATGGCGTAAGAGTGCTGTTTCTGCAAATACAACTATGGAGGAGTGAGATCTGCTGCACATAATCAAGCAGTGAGAGTAAACTTTCAGCTGTCAATTTGTTACACCCTACACTAAAAAGGCAATTCAATCTGAGAGGTGGATACATAATTAGTATTTATACAGTGAACAACACGTAGAGAAAATGTCTAGCAACTACTTGACTGATTGAGAAACTTGCCTGTTCATTGCTGTTCTGAAGACTTCAGCTTTTCATATTATTCCTCTTCCCCCTCCCCTCCCGTTTGCCCTCCTTCCTTTTGGTTATTCCTCTTCCCCCTCCCGTTTGCCCTCCTTCCTTTTGTGGCTTGTTTTCATTTTCCTGTACTGTCCATCACGTGGTACTTGTGTTGTCCTTTTTCAGACTCCATTTACTTCCGGGTACTATCAGGCATCTGAAACGAATTAGGGTCCTTGTCTTCAAGGCACTTCACTTCATAGGGCAGGATAGTAACATATTTTACTCTGCTCTCAGCCTATTGAATTTCATAATGGAACGAAGTGGAGCAACTGGGGAAAGTGGCACACCACAGTATGTCCGAACAGGTCTTTCTCCACAAGTGTTTTGGTAACATCTTTTGTTCAACAGAAAAACTAAGTACCTCTAAGCTGTTAGATGGAGTGAAAACATTTTCAAAAGTGTAGAAAGTACATACATTATAAAGAGAGTGATAAAAGTAGGAGTTTTGAACTGAGTTCAAAACATCAAAGACTTACTGTTTTAATTGGTTAATGAGAGCCAGGATGCTAATCTCACACACAGTTTAAAAAAATACACAATACTGTTGTAACAAAGCATGAATTTTGTATTCTAGTCCAGCCTGATCCTGAGAGTGTGGTTTTGAGCACTGATGGGGGACGCTATGATATTTACTTGTATGACAGACTACGAAAAGCTGTATATTGGGAAGAAGAGCCATCTGAAGTTAGGCGATGTACATGGTTTTATAAGGGAGATAAAGACAGCAGATTTATTCCTTATACTGAGGATTTCAGTGAGAAGCTAGAGGTTGGTATTTCAAGTAAACATAATTACGAACTTAACAATTCTGATTTATTACTTCTTTTCTAGAAAAACTTTTACATGCCTGGTTGAAATTGTACTCAGGAAAGGGGCTAAATTAGTGTTTCCTAAAATATAGTCTAAAATATATTCATGCAGTTTCCATATTTCAAATTGAGTCACATTATAATGTTGTATATCCCTATGATTTTCTCTACTGTAAATAAAATAATGCGAGTCATGTCTTAACACGGTCTAAACTTTGTCAATCTGGTTCACTAGTGTAGTGCTTCTCAACTTTTTTGGTATCAGAGACCAGCGTTCTGCTTTCCTAAACTGTGTCAGGGTGATCTCAGGGACTGGCACTGTTCCACACACTGGTCATTGAGAAATATTGCATTAATGCACATCAGCTGGATTGTAAATTCGGATGGTGTACCAGCTTATCTGCACTAAAAGTTTCCTAGAGCACATTGACATAGTGCTGTTTGTAACAGCGTTGCATCACCTTATTCTAAAGAACTTTCAGTACATGCCAGAAGGGTTTACACAACTAGTTCTTGTGTGACACAGTAGTGCTCATGACAATATACACCCCAGCTGGAGTGATCTAGTGCATCATGTAGACAAGCTCTAACTTTTGACTCGTCATATTACATATAGTTAGTTTAAAAACTGTTTTACATAAGTTTGTCTGTTGTTGCAGGCAGAATATAAAAAAGCTGTAACTACAAATCAATGGCACCGGCGACTTGAATTCCCAAATGGGGAAACAATTGTTATGCATAATCCTAAGGTAATTCTAACTGTCTGGTTTGTTCTTTGCAATATAGCATGGACTCGAGTATATTTTTATATTAAACTAAAGCATAACTTGAATGCAAACTTAGAGTTATGTGGAGTTTTAAAAATTAATCCACTGCTGCTGTTATATGTACATTAAAAGTGTATAAACTCTTCTTACCCAACAGCCTATCAGAAATGAAACTCATCCTCTCTTCTAAAACCAGAGAGATTTTGCAGTGTAATCACAAAGTTGATACACTTTAATGTTCTTAGGCCACTTGGAGGTGGGACAGTTTTTTAAAGTCAAAGGCCTTTTGCTATGAATACCTGCCAGCAGATCCCAACTGGTTTAAAAAAACGGTTGTCAGCTCAGCTGACCATGGCTATTGTGGTATCATGGAAAGTAATATATATTAGATTTTAAGGCTAGAAGGGACTACTATGGTCATGTACTTTGAGCTTCTGCATAATACAAGCATGAGTAAGAGCTCTGTGTAAACTTGAAAGCTTGTCTCTCACCAACAAAAGTTGGCCCAATAAAAGATATTACATCATCTATCTTGTGTCTAATATTCTGGAACATAGCTACAACACTGCGTATAGCAAGATATGATTTTTCAGCTAGTAAACCCTTCAGGTAGGCAGCATTCAAATCATTATAGGCTGTTTAATTCAATACTTATATCATATTATAAGTATTGAATTAAACAGCCTATAATGATTTGAATGCTGCCTACCTGAATGATGCCTACTTAAATTGCATCAGTCCCATATAGCTTGTAGAATACAAGTATAACGTGCTTTCTGCTGAAAATTCAAGTGAGCAGGCAGGTATCTATATTCTGTATTATCTGAAGTTTCTGAACTGACTTAAGATATTTGCCACATGTGAAAAAGTGCCTCAGAATGTTATTTTGAGACTGGTTTATTTTAAGTAATTCTAGTGAGAAGTCTCACCTGAAAGAAAAATATTTAACCTGCTAACCAAATATGGGGATGAAGAAGTATGAAAGGTTTTCTGGGAATTGCTGCCATGTAGGGGAATACAAAATGAAATGAAAATCATCCTCTCTTCTAAAACCAGAGAGATTTTGCAATGTAACCACAAAGTCAGTAAACTTCGAGTGTGCAAACCTGAATCAAATAATAGGCCAACTTCCCTCTGCTAATAATGACAACTTATTTTGTCTAGTTACTTTCCCCAAACCAACAAGCATTACTTAGAACAAAAGAACGGCCGTACTGGGTCAGACCAAAGGTCCATCTAGCCCAGTAGCCTTTCTGCCGACAGTGGCCAGCACCAGTTGCCCCAGAGAGGGTGGACCAAAGACAATGATCAAGCGATTTGTTGCCTGCCATTCTTCTCCAGCCTCTGACAAACAGAGGCCAGGGACACCACTTCTGTCCCCTGGCTAATAGCCTTTTATGGACCTAACCTCCATGAAATTATCTAGCTTCTCTTTAAACTCTGTTATAGTCCTAGCCTTCACAGCCTCCTCTGGCAAGGAGTTCCACAGGTTGACTACATGCTCTGTGAAGAAGAACTTTCTTTTATTAGTTTTAAACCTGCTACCCATTAATTTCATTTGGTGTCCTCTAGTTCTTCTATTATGGGAACTAATAAATAACTTTTCTTTATCTGCCCTCTCCACACCACTCATGATTTTATATACCTCTATCATATCCCCCCTCAGACTTAAGTCTTGTTTCAGTGTAGTTCAGTTGGCTAGCCTCTTACCTAGTAAAGTATAGGAACAGTAATAGCTAAAAGCAGAAATATGTTAGTCAGTCACAAGAGATGCATCTAATGAATAAGAAGAGGTATCTTAAAACACAGGACCTTCATAGATTTCAAGGCCAGAATTTTCAGGTAAACCGACTAGAAAATGAGTTTCCCTTGTTTAAAGTTACACAATATATTTCTTTTCAGGTTATAGTTCAGTTTCAACCTTCTGCAATACCAGATGAATGGGGGACCACTCAAGATGGTCAGACAAGACCAAGGGTAGTAAAGCGTGGAGTTGATGATGATCCTGATGAAATTCCCGATGGTATGTGACTTAGAGCACATGTGGACTGCAGTAGGAGAGATTTCCTGAGTCCCTATTTTTAGTCTGTGATTTGTAAATCAGATTGATCAAAGATTTGCACAACAATTGCTCTCTGCCTCAATGTATTTGTCAAGCGGACAGTGTTTCCTGGAGAGTGTCATTCTTACAACCAAGAGGAAAGCATTACCAGTACAACCATCATTGAATATAATTGGGGAACATTGTTTGATTTTGTAAGGGTCAAAGGATTACCCTTTGCTCACAAATAAATGTTCAATTTGTGTGACACACGTAAGGATTACTTATTCTGTTCACTCCCTCTTGGGCATCTGGTATTGGCCATTGTTGGCAGACAGTATACTGGGCTAGACGGTTGGTCTGACCCAGTATGACCATTCTTATGTTCTAATTTTTACAGTTAAATCTGTTCCTAAATCTGCCTCTGGGATTTCTAGATTACTGCATTCAATAGTTCTGAAAATTTTTGAAGAGTTAACAATGCTTAATTTTCTGCTGATATATGTGTACAGTGTGAGAGTTTAATATGGCTGATGGGAGTGTTGTGCTAATTGTATGAATGTTAGATTGCTTTGGCTGGAACAACAGCTTTTTCTTCACATTTGAACAGAAGACCAAACATAGTAATCAGTCAATTTAAAGCATGTACTTAGAACTTGATCTATACTTATGTTGAAGGGAAGGTTCTGAGGTATTTCGCTCTTACATGTGGAATGACCCTGGCATTGCAGCAAATAGTGAAGACAGAAAAACTCAAAAGTTAAAGGAAAAGTTAAGTAAAATTTGCTGACTGGCAAGAAATGGATTTTCTTATAAAAAAAATTGTAGGTGAAGTTGTGTCCTGAGACACATTATTACAGTCCTGTCATAAACCCCTAAAAGTCTATTATATAAAATTACATGAATAAACTGCATCACTGTGAGCATAATCATATACAGGTTTGACCAGTCCTGGCTGAAGGACTGGATCAGCGGTGGTCATTTCTGAGAACCCCTGCCTCCAGCCCTGGCCCAGCCACTGCCCTCTTAGCCCCTGCTGCCCTACCAGGCATCCTGCTACTTTGCGCACCGGGCTCCTGCTGTCGTGCCCAACTCTTGATGCCACGCTGGGCAGCCCTCTGCTCCCTGGGCTTCCACTGCTGTGCCAAGCAGTGTGCACGCCAGACTCCGGCTGAAGCACCTGGCAGCCCTGCTGCCTTCGTGCACTGGGCTCTCAGTGCTGTTCTGTGCATCCCTGCTGCCTCTGTATGCCGGGTTCTTGCTGCAGAGTCTGGTTCCTACTGCTGCTCTGTGCAACCCTGTAGCCTCTGCGTTGGGCTTCTGCCATACCACGGATGCTGCTGGATCATACAGTCCTGGTTAAGAGAGTTTCAACCTGTACTTAAGACTACTTGTTCTTTTGCTTTTTTTTTTTTATAGGGGAGATGTCCCAAATAGACCACTTAGTGTTCATGGTTCATGGCATAGGTCCTGTGTGTGATTTAAGATTTAGAAGCATCGTTGAATGTGGTAAGTCTTTGTCATAGCTTTATGCTTAAGTATTTACATTTGAGTTTTAGTTTTCTTCATTAATTGAATTCTTTAATGTGGTGTAAACAATTTTTGTATTGCTTTTTGAAATGCTATTTGAACAATGTTAATTTAAGAACCACAGATATTTTCTTATTTTGAGAAAGGGGCCAAACATGGAAAATAGTCTTGATTTTTTTCAGTCAAAATCGTTATTGGTATTTTTAGCTATTGCTATTAGTCTCTCAACAACAACTTGTACATTTAGGGTAAAAGTTTTACTAAATAAATTTATATTCCATATTCTAATAAAAACCCACCAGAATATATTTGGTTATGAAATTAAATATGGTTTATTTGGGGATACACCAAATACAACTTTGAACTAGATATTTAATAATTTCCTGAGTTTTTTCTTATACTTAAATAAGTAGTTTTTGTGAAATGCAGTAAATTTTTAAAAATAATTGATTAATTTGGCAGAGGACTTTAAAAATGCCCAGTATAGTTGAGAAACATGTTTGAAATTATGTTCTTATGTCTTTGTTTTATTTGACATTAATATCTGATTTCCACTTCTTCCCCTTGCTCCCTCCACGAAGTTGATGATTTTAGGACCGTGTCTCTGAAACTGTTGCATACTCACTTTAAGAAGTCTTTAGATGAACTTAAAGTGAGCAGAGTTGAATTCCTACCCGTTCACTGGCATAGCTCTCTGCATGGGGATGCGACAGGTGTAGACAGGTCTGTATACAGTACTACTATGCACAATGTCTGTCATGCAATCTGTCACGCATGTCATAATACAATACTTCATAAAGTTTAGGAAAATGAATGGGAGAGGTAAGGTAGATAAACATAGCCTGATTACAGAGAAATCATTCTATTGTTGTGTTTTGGTTTAGAAGTTTCTAAACAGTGGGTGATAGGACAAGTGGGATGATCACATGGTGCTTATTTCCAGGTGCTAACTTCATTAAAAGATACTTAAAAATAGATTAAATATTTTCCTAACATGTCTTTTCAGTATAACATCTCTAATGATGATTAACAAGATTGCTTAAGTAATCATTAATAGGAGGGAAGATAATGCATAAATACATGGCAATTATTTTCCTGATGGGTATTTCACTCATCCTTCTTTACAGCTAAGTGCAGTAAAAAGGTTAATACAGTGAAAGCCTTGTTATCCAGCACTCTGTTAATCGGAAAGTTTTGTTAACCGGTATAAAACAGCCATAAAACTGCCATATCTTCAGGTGCATACACCTGACTCCTGCCTGTCCAGCTGGCCATTATGGGCCTCTGACAGCTGATGCTGCTGGCTGATGACATTATCAGGCACCTCTTTCCCCCTCAGCCTGCCTTGAGCTGCCAGGAGCTAGATCTGCTGGTATGGAGAGGTACCAGAGCAATAAGCAGTGCTCTCCCGTCAGCTCAGGTATTCAATCAGAATGAGAAACATAGGTGGAATTGACGGGAGAGTGTCTGCCATGGAAACAGAAATTAGATCTAAGTACGTCAACTTCAGCTTTGTTATTTATGTAGCTGAAGTTGCATAACTTAGATCGATGTTCCACAGTGGTGTAGACTAGGCCACAATCTTTTCTTCCCATGCTCACATGCTTGGTAATAGGGCAAAACTATAATAAAATAATGCCACAGGTTTACCCTGAAAACTCAGCATAGGTTGGGAGAGATATTAGTACCATAACATAGAAATAAGAACACTAACAATTAAAGAGAAGGCATTAGCATTAATGTATGTGTGAGAAGACCAGAAAGTTTATATTGGTTTGAGGATTGTGGAGAACTTGACTGCTATGGTTATGGTATTCTGATGGTTATACCTTCAAAATTATGGAAATATGGACTTTAAAATAACCATTCTCCATCTAATGTTTTTGCACCATAGGAATATTAAAAAAATCACTTTGCCAAGCATTGGACGTCTGCGTCACTTCACCAACGAGACCTTGCTTGATATACTGTTTTACAACAGCCCAACCTACTGTCAGAACATTGTAGATAAAGTAGGCATGGAGATGAATCGCCTACATGCACTTTTCATGAGTCGCAACCCAGACTTTAAAGGAGGAGTCTCTGTTGCTGGGCACAGTTTAGGTAATCTACTAATATGTCTGTTTACTTTCTGGGACAAAATAGCATTCCTCGATAGAGGACAACACATACTGCACTTAAGCATGGGGAAAGCTGATCTGTTAGATGATGATGCTTTTCTAGAATGTTGCTGGCTCCTAATGGAATATGTAAATATAATCAGTTAATAATACTCTCTTCTTAAGAGGTATAATGATTAGGACTGTACCAACTTCATAGTGTTAATACTCTCTTAAGAGGTATAATGATTAGGACTGTACCAACTTCATAGTCCGTTTTAGTCAATTTCATGATCATAGGATTTTAACAGTTGTACATGTCAGCTATTTAAATCTGAAATTTTATGTGTTGTAATTGAAGGGTTCCTGATTCTAAAGGAGTTAGATGGGTGGAGGGGCAGTTTCTCAAGTTTAATGTAGAGGGGTTTGTAGTACTGCTACCCTTATTTCTGCCCAGCTGCTTTTGGTGGAGCTGCCTTCAGAGCTGAGCAGATGGAGAGCATCAGCTGTTCAGGAGCCCAGTTCTGAAGGCAGAGATACCACAAGCAACAATATAGAGGTAAGGATGGAATGGTACGATATTGCCAGCTTTACAGACGTGCTGCTACTTGTAGTGCTGTGCCCTCAGTCAGCAGCTTCCAAGGCCCCATCACTCAGCTCTGAAGGCAGCAATATAGTAGTAGGGGTAGCATGGCATCATACTGCCACCCTTACTTCTGCTACCTTCAGAGCTGGACGCCTATTCAATAACTGACCCTCTCCAGCCTCCCAGCTCCGAAGGTGGCCCAGAAGTAAGGGTAGCAATATCATGATCTCCCCCCCTCCCAAGTAATCTTGTGATTCTCTCCCCCAACTCCCTTGGGGTCAGGACCTCTAATTTGAGAAATGCTGGTAGTTCGTGTGACTCTCTAGTACAGGGTAAAAACACAGAAAAGACCAGATGTTCATGGTGGGACATCAGATTTCATGGTCCATGACATTTTTCACATTTGGTAAGGCCCTAATTATAATCTATAGATTATAGTTGGATGTGAAGAGATTTGGAGTCTAGTTTTAAAAAAACATCTTGACATGTAACCATGGGTTTGTCAGTTAAGTTCTGTGCCTGCTTTTCCCAGTTGTAAAATGGGGTAATACTATGCCTGCATGATGGTTATTATGAAACTTTGAATTCCTTGCTGTCCTGTCTGAGGGAACAAATGCAGCAGAATGAAATAAAAGGTGATGTTGGCTGTTATAATTGCTGTTCAGGTGAACCAGCTTTGTACAAGTCCATTGTACTAGGAATTCTCATTTCAGTCTAGGTGTAGTATCTAAAGATCTTGTTTCTTTTTGTTTTTTAATTTTTCTGTAAAATGATTGAAGTTAACCTTCTCTCATCCTATTTCCAGCCACTGCCATCATCATGAAGTCCTGTTTGTGAAGATTCTGCGTCAAGAAAATTGAAATATTTACTCAAAACAATTTACTTTATATCTTCAGGTGCCTTAATTTTATTTGACATATTATCCAACCAGAAGGACTTGACTTCTTCAGGGAACTCTGGGCCTGCTCCTTCTGCTACTAATGGGCTTGTGAATGATGTGGGTGTTCGTGACAAGCAGGTATTACTTGCATCCCTGAATTTTGAAATGATTCACTCTAGTGGTTTTTTTGGAGATATTTCTCAAACTGTCAGAACTGTTGCCAATTTATCAGTACCTGACGTGATTGTACATTTTAATTGACTAAAGGCAAAAATGCAATCTAAAAATAGTCAGTTTGTGTTTTTGTAGGTTGTATACTTGAGGTTTATTGCACCTTATAAACATAAAGGTCAGTGGAGGCAATTCTTTCTTGTAGATTTGAACATGGGTCTGCGACCCAGAAATTCTAAGTTCTAGACATTGGCTCTGTCCCAGAATCTGTGGTATTGAGCAAGTAGGAAAGGTGTGGGAAAGGTGTGGGAAAGCTGTCTACAAAAGAGGTAAAATACTGGCTTGCAGAACTTTGTGGGAAATGATAAATATGTGAGAGGATGACTCTGTGTACTTAAGTTTTCAGCGTGAGAGTTATGAGGGCAGGTATGTGTGTGTGGTGTGTTTTTGTTTTTAAACCTTAGGGGGGTATTTGAAGTGTAAACCATGGAACTACAGAACTCCTGGAACCCAATTGTCACTGTTAGTCTCCCTTTAACTGTTTTAAGCTTAGTCCATTCTTATTGGGAGAAGATTTGATGTTGCTGTTTGCTTTCTTTAAAACCCTGAGGCTAGGATTATTAACAATGCTCAGATGATACTGATATTTAAAAAATATGGTTAAGCATATATTTTTTCTGTAGATTTTTCTTTTAACACCTTGCTCTGTTTTTCAATCTCATTGTGCTGCTTTCATCTTCTTTTAAGATGCTAGAGAATACAAACTCCTTGGCGCCCGTAATTACTCTTTCTGGTGATGAGCCCTGCGGTCCTGATGAGGAGCATGAAGTTCCAACCTTACAGAAGGCTCTTGAAATGCTTAGTGTCTCGGAGTATATCGACACATTTGAAAAGGAGAGAATTGATATGGAATCTCTGGTATAACTAACATTTCCTGTTGGCATCAGGAACCTGACCATCTTTTTTGCTTTAGAGTTTAGTCTGAAGAGTTTTTTTTTGTTTCTGTTTTGTTTTTTTTTAAATATTGAAACCTGAATTGTACATAGCATTAAGATTAAATATTATGTGATTCCATAGCACTTTCAGTGAAGTAGCTTAATCTTCTGGTTATGTGCATTTATTTTTATCCTGTACTCTGCTTGATCTTTCTTTAATTCTGTTTAAATCTGAAGCTGCACTATTTTGAGTTTACTGAGCTAATTTTTAAGCCATATTTTCTGTATGTCACTAAGAAGTGCTATATCTATTTTTTTTTCATCAGATGATGTGTACAGTTGACGACTTGAAGGAAATGGGTATACCTCTTGGACCCAGAAAGAAAATTGCCAACTTTGTAAAAGACAGAGCAGCCAAACAGGTAAATGCTCATTGTTTTAGAATACATTTATATTGGCATTTTAGTACTTATATATAATGTACATATAATTACCACATCAGAGGTTGTCAGAAGCTCTCTTGGGGGAGGAGGGTATGCAGCATGTAATTAAAAACAGTCTTCTGCTTCAATTATTGAAAGAGCACAATGTAGAAAACATCAAAAATATTTCAGTAGTGTTTTATTATTGTCTGACACTGGTTTATTGTGATGAATTTTGCTAATCACTTGACAGCCCTGTATATTACATTGTCAGAAAAGAATATGAAATGTTAGTCATCACAGAAGTGCCTAAATGACTTAATAGTCTATATCCAATTGAATGTCAATAGAACTCTGTTCCCAAGTCATTTAGGTACTTCAGAAAATCTTGCCCCACGTGTTTTGGGGTTTTTTACACAGAACTGATTCATTGTGGTGATAATCTTTTTAATCAAAGGAATAGGTAACCAGCAGATGTAGGCTGTTTATCTTGTAGGGGATTCACTGGCTAAGGTAAAGGGGAAGCTATTTTTAATATGATGATATGATTTGACTATTAGTATTACTGACTTTTGTACATGTGCCTAGCTGTTACATAGCAATTCAATCATCTAAAGGTTGCCAAACCTTTGGCTTTAAACATTAAAAAAGAGTAATGTGTGCTCTTCCCAGGAAATCATCTCTGACAGGGAGCAACACTATTTGATGTGGTCTAGGATGCTCTGGGTAGGCCTGGGGAGAGGAATGGACTCAGATACCTAGTGGTGTTGGCATACAGGCTACGTCTACACTGCAGGCTTCTTGTGCAAGAACGAATGTTCTTGTGCAAAAACTTGTGGAGCGTCTACACTGCATGTGTGTTCTTGTGCCAGTAAATTTACAGTAAAGCATTGGAACAGCGGGCTTCTTGTGTAAGAGTTATTCCTCTCCCCACGAGGAATAAGCTCTCTTGCGCAAGAACTCTTGCGCAAAAAAGGCTAGTGTGGACGGGCAACAGGCTAAACGTCTAAAATGGCCATTGGAGCTTTCTTGCACAAGAGAGCATCCACACTGCCATGGATGCTCTTGTGCAAAAGCACATCTCTTGTGCAAAAGCACATGGCAGTGTGGGCGTGCTCTTGTGCAAGACTTTTTGCGCAGGAGTTCTTGCGCAAAACAGTTTTTGTGCAAAAAGCCTGCAGTGTAGACGAAGCCACAGTTTTGTAGACAATCAGCTGCTTGACTTTCACATGAGAATTTTTTAGAAATCGGCTGTTTTTTTTCAATTTTAGCTTTTTTTCAACCTTTTTGCTGAGCTATTTGTTCTAGAAAAGTTTAATCTATAAAACTGTTCAGTCATCTATAAAACTGTTCAAAAATATCAACACAAACGTTTGCAAGTTTTCCATTCACAACTGAATTATTGATCAATGTTGTTAAATTCAAAATTCTGAAAAATTCAGACAATTCTAGTTGCAACCAACTGACGATACTGAAAAGATACAAAGCCTGCCACCATCATCTGAAAATCTAGAACAGGGGTCAGCAACCTATGGCACGTGTGCCGTAAGTGGCATGTGAGCCGATTTTTCAGTGGCACATGTGGTGGGAGCTCAGTCCCTTCCCCCATCCCCTTCCTCTGCAGCAGCTGGAGCCTTGCAGTTGCCATACAGCTGCAGACTGGAGAACCAGTTCTGGCTTCCTGCTGGAAGGGCAAGCGGGGGCGCGGGAGCCTGGCAAGCTGAATGGGCAGCATGACCCCACACTGGGCTCTTCGTCCCTGGGGCTGCCCCTGCCCAGCCTGGGTGTGCAGCTCCCAGGAACTAAGGGGTTAACACCCTCCTCTAACCCTGCTACTGGCCCTGCTCTAGGAGGGGGTGGTAGGGCTGGAGTGGCTCTGCAGATCTGGGGCAACTGGTCACAAGCTGCTGCTGCCTCCGTGGGGTGCCGGGGCCTGGGCTGTGCTGCACTGCTCCCTGCGGGATGTGTCTGGCGGTGGGGGAGCCCCTTCCCCAGCAATCCGCTGCTTTCAGCCGGGCTAGAACTAGCCGCGAGCAACCCTGGCCTCTGGCTGCCGCAGCCTATGGGTGAGGGGTGAGCCCCAAACAGCTGGGCTGGGCAGGGAAGTGGCACGGTCCCCTCCTCACCCCAGCACTGCTCCCGGGCAGGGCTGCAAGGCCCAACACTGCTGCCCTGCCAGTGTACACACTGGGGATACAGGGATGTAGGAGTACAAAGGGGGGTGAAGGAGGATGCCGGGCATGGGACGATGCAGAGGATCAGGCTACCGGGAAGGATCATGGGGCTGAAGGGAGTGAGGCTGGAACAGAGGGAAGTTTGAAGTGCAGCACTTTAAACTGAAAGTTTTGCCATGGGAGTAGCTAACAGCACTAGGAGTGTGGCTCCTAGCACTGTAGCCTAGTTCACATTGGCATTTTACAATGCTGTAACTTGTGCTTGGGGAGAGGGGTGTTTTCACATCCCTTTGCCAGAAAGTTAAAGTGCTGTAAAGTGACAGTGTAGATTTAACCCTAGTCCCTCCTCTGACTAATGCTTGTATCTTTTTTTTGTTTGTTTGTTTGCCATTATGTTTTTTTATACTAGTTATAAATATAACCTCATTGTTTGCCATTGTTTTTTTATACTAGTTATAAATATAACCTCATTTACTGGTTCTATTCTGTTCTGAAAAATGTGTTTCTTTTCAACAGCAATTCTAAGTGACTTCCTTCTTTAAATGGCTGCTTTCTAACTTTTGAGAATAGCTTTTGGTCATCAGAGTGAAAATCCATGTATAGTATAATATTCTAAATTGCTATCGGCCGCTAATTCTAGGTAGCTTGCACATTCCGTTAAGGTATCCGTTTTTACAGCACTTAATTTAGAATGAGGTGGCCTGCAGTTTAAGACTGATGTTTTCTATTACTCCTGTTAGGGATGTGAATGGGTAACTCTGTGTGTAGAGGGCTGGAGGGGGGAGAGTAGGGATGGAGGGGGAAAGTTGGGAGCAGCTCTAGCAGCCCCATACATGGCTAATTGATCAATCGGGATTTTGCATCCCTGTACCTATTATACCCTGATATTGTCATAGTTGTAGCTTCCTATGCTATTTGCAAAAGAGGATGAAGAAAACTGCCTCATTTGTTTATAAGGTGAAATTAGCTCAATATCTAAACAATACTTGTTAGGAAGATTGATGGATGTTAACTACTCTTAACATGAAATAAATGTTAACTGCATATAGTGTCATTAAATGTATTATTAACTAGAAGAATCAAAGAATGGGGTTGACAGGTTGGATCACAGAAGTCCCCTTGGGTTTGTCACCCAGTGTGCTGATCAAGCCACTGATGCCTGCCTTCCTGTCCTCTGGGACTCCCCACTACAGTGTACTTCTGAGCCAGAAGCTCTGGTCTTTTTCAGCCGAGGCGCAGAGTTGGCATTACTGCCCCCCTGCAGAGCAACACAGCTCAGCTATGAACCAGCTGAGCTCTAGGAGGGCTCAGCTATAAGGCCACTGATCGCACCCAGGAACATAGCCTCCCCCCAAAAGGAACCAAACCCCCAAATACATCAGTCTTACTCTGTATAAAAGAAAGAGAGAGCTTATAAGTTAGCCCTTTTTTATCAGTGAAAGATGCACAATAGTTGCTCCTTCCCCGGTAACAATTATTTACACTAGGCTTGATAAAAAACAAAAGTGTTTTTATTAAGTATAAAAATGGGATTTAAATGATTGCAAGTGAAAACTGACAGATCAACGTAAGTTACTAAGCCAAAATAAACAAAACACACCAGCTAATTCTAATACACTAAGAAACTTGTTACATGCACATTCTTATCTTAAAAGTTCTAATAATCTCTCACAAACTAGGCAACCTCCTAGCTTGAGTCTGATCCTTCTCATTTCAGGCTTAGCTGTTTCCAGGAAGTGTCTTAGGTGCTGGTGGTGGGGTGGAGAGTCTCCATAGGTCTGGCCTTTCATCTCTTTAGATGCCTTTTTCCCAAGGCAGTTCTTTGTGCTCAGTTTGGATTTTTCTCATCTTAAGTGGAAAAGTACAAGATCCAAAATGGGTTTCAGCACCAGGTGGCCTTGTCACATGTCTCTGTAGGGCCAGCCACAGTTTGGGCTTATAGGGAAAACAAAACTATTCACAGTTTATTTGAATTGATTACCCAGCCATCAAGTTCCTAAAGTATCACCAAAAGCTTTTGCTAGAATACATGGCTTCATAAAACAAGTTTCCACTTAATATTTTTAACGTCACATATAAAAATATATATTCACAGAAATAGGATCTACAGATGCAGTGGATTACAGCTTTTAAAATTGTGTCATCTATCTGGTTTTGCTAAAAGCATCTTCAAGTTATATTTATTCACGTTCATAACTCAATTTTCATAAAGGACGGTGGGGCTGTGACTGTGATGTTTACTTCATTGGGTAATATAGCGCAGATTCTCAGTTCTCATGCTGTAATACTTTGTTTGACTACCTGAAAGAGCTCATGCTAGTTGTGCCCTAGAATCCTTTGTGCAGGTTCCCACAGTGCTTCATAAGGAACACTTCATAAGGAGAAGGAAAATTGATAGACAAATTAACAAGAGATGGGGTGTAAGCAATGCTTTTTTTGTTATGGTACTGCCCGATACGCAGTACCGGCCCCTCCAGTCAGAGCTCAACAACTTTTCCCCTGGAGTACCGGCACTTTTTTTGTTTAAAAAAAAAAAAAAAAGCAGCAGCAGCACTAGGTACAAGTACTTCTGGCATCTGAAGCAGAACAAATGTAAATGCATAAGGTGTGTCTGAAACCCAAGATAGGGACTGAGAAAAGTTGCCATAGCAATAAACTGTTTTTCTGGTTCTGGTAACTTCTTTTCAACAGGAAAAGAAAAAAGCATTAGCAGAGAAAAAAGCAATGATGGCGGCCTTGGTGCAAACTCAGGAAGCGGCACAAAAAGCAAAAGAGGCAGTTACTTCTGATGCCACTTCAGAATCTGGTGGCTTGCATGAACAGTCAAAGAGAAAACTTCCTGTTGGTGCCTTGGTTTCTTCTGTGAACATTGATTATCAGTATTTTGAAGTTGGTACTGGCCAGGTAAGGTTGTTAAAACATCTTGTATAAGAATAGAGCGATGTACTAAAACATATCAAAACAAACTTTTTTTTTTAAAAAAATCCCACTTCATTCTAGTCACGCAAAAAAAGAACTCTCATACAGGGTAAACCTCTAAAATCTGTGACTCTCTGGTCTGGCAACTGGGCCGTGGATATTGCTGGACCAGAGGCGAGGGGCATGAGCCAGCTAGGAATCCCACGGGAGCTGGGGAGTCCCCGGGCTGGCAGGGGCTGATCCTGTGCTGGGTTGGGAGTCCAACCCTGGGGGAGCCCCACTGCAGCAGGGAAATCTGGCAGGAGTGAGGCTAGCAACACTCAGGGACCCCGGGGACAGAGGGACTGCTGGCGTCTGGAGCCGGGAGTGCGGGGGGTGGAGAAGAGACCTGGCCCTGGCCAGAACCCTAGCAGCAGTGGGGCCAGCAGCAGCTAGAGAGTCCCAGCCCGAGGAGGCCGAACCTGGGAGTCTTGGTATGGGGCAGGCAGCAATGCAGAGAGCCCAAGTTCCGGAGCCCAGTGAGGAGGCTGAACCTGGGAGTCTCGGTATGGGGCTGGCAGCAATGCAGAGAGCCCAAGTTCCGGAGCCCAGAGAGGAGCTTTGACCTTGCCTGGTCTTGAAAACTCCCTGGTTCAGGACCACTCAGGTCCCAAGTGTGCGGAACCAAGGAGATCCAATCTGTATTTCTTGTTTTTCGTTATGGAAATGTCCTGTTAAAGTTAGCACTAAAGAAGCCACCACAACAGATTTTGCCTCTTTAAAGTGTCTAGAGGTGGATCCATTCCCCAGTTTGTCACCCACATTGAATTACAGCACATGTTCTACCCTGGTATTGAATGGTCACTTTGAGTTTTCTTTGGATGGTTACAGGTTACCTTTGCTCTCTGCCATTGCAGATCTAAAATGTGAATGGTCTTTCCTTACTCTAAAGTTTTGTTTTTAAAAAAAGTACTCTGAAATATTTCCTGTTAATTTCACTTTAGCCTCATATACTTTCCTGTAAGGTGCTTTTGTGAGGATTTTCCAAGCCATATGGGCAGAATAGCCCAGCAAATATCTGGCACTGTGCTGTATAAACTAGCGGGTGGTTGGGTGTTTGTCAGTCTTTCCTTTTTTAATTAGGCTTAAAGTGAATTGCTTGACACTTGAGGTGACATTGATGTTGTTTGATTAATCTGTGCTGCTAGGTTTCTGTGGCTTACAGTGTGTTAGACTTCGAACCAGAGAATTTCTTTGCCCTGGGTTCTCCAATTGGTGTGTTCCTTTCTGTACGAGGAGTGGAGAAGATTGATGAGAACTATAGACTTCCTACCTGCAAGGGATTCTTCAATATTTACCATCCAGTGAGTGTGAAGTACCTGTGAGATTGGATTGCAACTAATTTAGATGAAGGGAAGGTGGGAAAGCTGCATTAAAACTTCTTACGACACCAAAAGTAATTTTAGAACAGTCATTATCTCCTGAAGGTTGCAATCACCTTCAGTTATTTCTGAACCTCTACAGAAAATAAGTAGTTGGTTGCAATTCATGTTCTTAATACCTATCCCAATTACCTCGTCACCTGCCCTCTTCACTTTCCAGAGCCAAAATAATAATTCACTTCTCATGTTCACATTGAGATTTCAAAACTATTCATAGTTGTTATAAAATACAATAGACTTATCCTCTTCTTCCCCATCTCATTATAGCACTAATTAATATACTAGCTACTACAACAAGGAGTCCTGTGGCGCCTTATAGACTAACAGATGTATTGGAGCATAAGCTTTCGTGGGCAAAGACCCACTTCATCAGATGCATGTTTAAACCAGTTTGGGAACCCATGTTCTAGAGGCTCTGAATCTAAGGCTGTGTCTAGATTACATCCCTTATCTCGAAAAAGGGATGTAAATTAGACAGTTTGAAATTGCAAATGAAGCCAGGATTTAAATTTCCTGCACTTCATTTGCATAATGGCAGCTGCGTTTTTTTCCGAGAAGGGGCTTTTTGAAAGAAAAACTGTTTAGACAGGGATCTTTCGAAAATAAAACCTTTTTTCGAAAGTTCCTGTACTCCTCAGGAGTTTTATTTTCAAAAGATGCCCGTCTAAACAGCCGTTATTTTTTCGAAAAGCCCCTTTTCAGGGGGAAAAAAAATGCAGTTGCCATTATGTAAATGAAGTGCAGGAAATTTAAATCCCGGCTTCATTTGCAATTTCGAAGTGTCTAGTTTACATCCCTTTTTTGAGAAAAGGGATGTAGTCTAGACACCGCTTAAGTGAACAAAAACACTCATTTTGTTAATGAGCCAGCAGTGCTTTGCAGTTAACTAAACATTAGTTCATTTGAGTTAACTGATAATTTGTAGATTGTCTTTTTCAGTTATTAACTAGTTTCTTTAACTGAAATGTCACTAACATTTTGCTAGCTAACTATCAAATAAATTTAGTTATTGTGGCTTTCTCTTTATTTGCAGCTTGACCCAGTGGCTTACAGGTTAGAACCTATGATTATTCCAGAGTTGGACATAAAACCAGTTCTCGTTCCACACCACAAAGGCAGAAAAAGACTGCATCTTGGTAAAAGATTTATTATATACAGTGAACCCTCGTTTATCGCGGTAGATAGGTTACAAACCCGACCGCGATAGTTGAAAATCCGCGAAGTAGGGATCAAAAGGGAATATAGGTTGGACCTGCTTGGTCCAGAACTGTTGGGACCAGACCGGTTCTGAATGAGGGGATTTTCTGGGCCAGGAGAGATCCCCTCCCCCCCCTCCTTGGTCCTGCTGCTCCCTGGGCTCCAGCTCCAGACCTCTTGTCCCCCCTTGGTCCTGCTGCTCCCTGGGCTCCAGCTCCAGACCTCTTGCTGCCTGCCCAGTTCTCCCTAAGCTGGAATGCCATGGCTGTCCTGATGGGGTCCTGGCCATCAGCTCTTCCTGTTTTGCCCAGTTGGGTTCTCCCTAAGCCGGAATGCCATGGCTGTCCTGACGGGGTCCTGGCCATCAGCTCTTCCTGTTCTTGGGCTCTGCCAGACCATGGATGTTACTAGAGAGTCCCAGTTTAGGGAGGTACAACTTGTAATGATTTTGGGTACTTTACTTCTTGGGGACCCAGCTTCAGATGCTTTAAAGGAAACTGAATTTCAAAGGGCAGATTCTCAGCACTTTCTGATATCTGGCTGTCTCAAATTGAGCATCTGCAATCTTAGTTCAGTTTTGAAAATATTAGTCCTTTTCTTAATTGAGACTGTAACTTCACTAATTAGAGGTGTATTTTTAACAGCTGTCGGTAATTGTCCGGTTCATATTAACTTCTTACAATTTAGAAGAGAAGAGGCAATAGCCAAGTTAACTAGATCCCATATCTGTCTCCCCAGACCCTGCAATGCTGCCACTCTCATATATAGTTAAATTATGCACACAATAGGTGCACATTGATTTTCATGCTACTGAGCTAGCTAGCCTTTCTGCTTGTGCCACTTTGGAGCAGTCAAGAAAAAATACTTAGGAAGACACTTAGTAATACCTGGGGTGTAACTGGGATTGGATTCTTGACTCTTGTGACTAAACTCACATGTTTCAGGATTGAAAGGATCTTTTTCTAAGTTAAGTTTGTCAGAAACCTGGAGGAAGTTCAGACTCCTCTAGAGCTGGAGGAACAAATCATCGGGTTAGGATGAAATGGCCATTTACAGCAGAATCAACACAAGGACACTAGTGCACAAGGGTTGTTTTCATGGTTATCTGTTTCTCTGTGTTCAAAAATTGCTTTATCAGAATCTGCTTCAGCTAAAACTATGTCCCAAAATTTGCTGCTTTATATATTCTCCCTCACACTCACTCTCATATATGCATACCAACATCTGGACAGGTAGCACTCTTAAATTTCACATACTAAAATAAGGGAATCCGTGTCTCTGTTTGGATGGTGAGACAACCATTGCAAAAGTTCTCCAAACAGTTAGTAATTAAGATACTTTGAAGAGGGAATTCTGCAGAGTCAAGAGTTTAGAAGAGATCTCTATAGTGCATCATTAATTACTATAATTTCTTAAGGTAAACTAGACATGTCTGTCATTGGGAATTTTTTTTTATAATCAGAGTAAATGGGTGTTAAAGGGAAAATGTAGCAACATATTCATTCTTGAAGTCAAAGAAAAGCTAGTTGTCTGTAATGCACCTAATGGCTAAAGGATAAATGTTCCACAGAATAGCTGTAGATTTCATGGCAATTTATGCCCTTGTAATAGTTTTGCTTTTCAAACCCAACTTTTTTCACATCACAAATGTAAGTGTTAGAAATAAATAGCTGACACTTTAAGAGGGAGTAAGTGCGGGAGCAGGGGGGGGTCCTCATCTTTAGGTATCCACTCTTAGTTTAACTTGATCAGGTACATCTCTGTAACATTATTTAAAAAAATAAACGAGTGGCAAAATACAGATTTCATAGTGAGATGCTGTGTTTTATGTCATCTTTTAATGAAAAGGAAAAAGAAGCCTGGGTTTATATGCACCAATAATTGGTACCTTTGGCGAGTACTTACTTTTTAAAAATTTGTGTTCACATAACATTTTCACTAATAATTATTCTGATATTGTGATCTTTTTAGAGTTGAAAGATTCTCTCTCCCGTATGGGATCAGATCTAAAACAGGGTTTTATCAGTTCTTTGAAGAATGCTTGGCAGACTCTTAATGAATTTGCACGTGCCCATACCTCTTCAACTCAGCTGCAAGCAGAATTGGAGAAGGTAGCTAATCAAATTAAAGAGGAGGAAGAAAAACAAGTGGTAGAAGGTAGGTGGACAGTTCATTAATGTTTTCTTAATAAACTAATATCAGATTTGTGTAAACATCAAAGCTCAAATGATCATTAGATATGTTAGATTTTAAGTTAATTACTATTTGATCTTGTCTAGGAAAACACACTTGTTCAGGTTCTTAATGTTACACTTCATATTTGCTATTGTATTAACAGCATCTACTTCAAAGGAGGCTTTCATTAGTGCAATATTACAGTTGAGCTTGATGTCAAGAGCAAGTTTCCAAATGTCTTGCCTTTACTCTTCTGTAAGAAAAATGAGTAAACATCTGTAGGATTTCTGCTTTTTAATTATGCTCCACTGCTTAGAAAGTACAAGATGAGCAATAAGACAAGAGTCAGAGTGGATGTGAACAAACTGAAATGAACATTAAGTAATACATGTTGCCTTCTACAAACATTGATCTCTTGAGAGGTTGGGGGTTTGATTCCTGCCTGTTCTCATTTTTCTGGAAGGTGTTACTTAGCATTGTGTGCTTTGTTATTGCCTGCTCTCGTTTTTCTGGAAAGTGTTACTTAGCATTGTGTGCTTTGTTATTTCTGGGTAGAATGTGCTGCTGCAGAAACAAATTGAAACAATTCATTTTTGTGGTTATTAATCACATAGTACATGATAGTGAAGCCCCATGTATGATAGTGAGACATAGTTATTAATTATCCAATGTCTTGTAGAGACTGCTTCAAGGTTGCTCTATTATTTAAATTTGCAATAAAAAGAAACCGAGACCCATATTTGTAAGCCACACAGAGAACATTAGAAGACTTATTTTTGTTTAATTTCAATGTAACATAGTTCAGTTGAGGCTAGTAGTTTTCCTAGATGAATGTGGAAAATGGTGACACACGTTCACAGTCAGTGAATAGAGCAGTAATAAAGAATAGAGCTTGTGACTGATTTAAATGTTAAAACTATCCATTCTAGCTGAAAAGATTGTTGAAAGTCCGGATCTTTCGAAGGATGAGGATGTCTTAGTAAAGGTTGGGATGCTGAACGGAGGACGCCGTATTGACTATGTTCTACAGGAAAAACCAATAGAAAGCTTCAATGAATACCTTTTTGCTCTACAGAGTCACTTGTGTTACTGGTAAGAATGCTATATTTTTTTCTGTAATATCATGATGTTTGCTTTTCCAGTGTAGTTATATTTAATTACCAGTCCTCTTACTGTTATTTTGTATAGCGTCTGTGGCCAATGTGACTATAAAAAGAATGCTGCTGCTTGTTTCTAGCATTTTCATTATGAAAAGTGAAAGGATCACTCTGAGAAATATAATATTATAGACCAGGGGTTCCCAAACTTTTTGACACGGGGACCAGTAAATCCATTCACGAACTTTTGGAGGACCGATAATGTTCGTTTGCATATTTGCCTATTCATTAATCAGATGATTAATATTCAAATAAGTTGTTTCTGGTCCTCCCAAAACCCCCAGTGCCAGCTTTAGCAAAGCTTTTGATATGGTTGCCCACAATATTCTTGCCAGCAAGTTAAGGAATATGGATTGGATAAATGGACTGTAAGACAGACAGACAAAGCTGCTTAGATCAGGGTTTTCCAAACTTTTTACTTTAGTTGGAACCCTTTTTTTTCAGTACTGCTTTTTGCAGCCCAAAAATATAAACACATAAAAAACAAACTGAGAAAATACCAGACATATAACATGTCTGGTATTTTCTCATTAGGTAAGTTGTATTATTACTAGATGTATCAGTTTGTAGTTTCGAACTGCCTGGCTGGTAAATGTGCTCAGGCTGCATGCGTGTCTACCAGCCAGACAGTTCACAACTACTCGAGGGTGTGTGTGTGTGGGGGGGGACGATAATAGAATCCCCGGGCCGGACTAACTCATGCTTTGTGCTTTGCGGGGGAGAGGGGGGGAACGGGGCAGC